GTTTAATGTGTGTGTGTGTGTGCATACTAGGGGGTAAGAAAGTTAATTACATCTGTTTACATAGGGGCTTTGGGGATTTAGGTGTTTTTTCTTGATTAAGGTTGTTAGGGCTATGCTTAGACTCACCCTAAACCCTAAACCCTAAACCCTAAACCCCAAACCCCAAACCCTAAACCCTAAACCCTAAACCCTAAACCCTAAACCCTAAACCCTTCAGTCCAAGCCTGACATCAACCTCCAAGGTGGTCTTCCGAACGGTGCGACTGTCGGGGGAGTCCCTGGCAGCCTATAGGCCGGCCGGTAAAGAAGGTAGAGCTGACATCTGACCCCCTTGAACTCAGAACGATATCGGAACATATCATGACGTTCCTAAAAAGGCCGAGAATGTACATCAACTGTGAGAGGGAAGGAGGCAGGGAGGGCGGGGGAGAGCGTTTAAGCACCACAGCACGTGAACGTTAAAGTTCGGGTTGCCGTTCCGATTGACCCTACAAGCCCTAAACTTAAAACCTAAACCCGAAACCTTATAAGCCCTAAACCCTTGAACCCTTGAACCCTTCAACCCTTCAACCCTTCAACCCTTCAATCCTTCAACCCTTCAACCCTTCAACCCTTCAACCCTTCAACCCTAAACCCTAAACCCTAAACCCTAAACCCTAGCAACCTCCGGAGGATGAAGGTTGGTTTGGTTGCCCATTTCGGCTCAGTTGCCGCGCGACGAAACACCTCAGTTGCGCTGCCTTGAAAGAAATCGCGGCCACGCACGTGGCGCAGCCTTCTCCAGGAAGAGCCTAGGACTTCGCAAGGCGTCAGGGGCGATGAGTGGTGTTCAGGATGTGGCGCGTTGGGTGTAGGAGAGCATGGGTCGTGCTTGCCACTCATGCGAGGTGGCACTTCGCTTGCATGAGCATCTCAAATCGGACGAGAGTTGATCAGCAGCACGGATCAGCGAAAGGTCTCCAATAAAAAGACTCCCCTGAGCATCTCAGGAAACTACGATCACCCCGTGATTGTGACCTTCGAAACCTTCGGAGCCTTGGGGACGACATGAAGCCTAACAGGGTTTATGGTTCCTATACCTTAATAGGAATTATAGTAGTATAGGGTTTATTCCCCCAATTTTAAGTCCCCAAGGTGGTTCCTATACCTTAATAGGAATTATAGTAGTATAGGGTTTATGACCCCAATTATAAGTCCCCAAGGAACCTCAGATGGCGCACTGTGCGCCGACCATCCGCGACGTGTGGGCATGGAACTTGCAGCCTGAGCTCCTGGCCCTGCAGCGGACAATTCGTGACGTGGGAGCTGGTGCCGTACTTGCAGCTACCCTGCAATAGGGTGTCTATAGGGTTGAGGACCATATTATAGGCAGTTTTCTAAGGCAGGGCTTATTTTGGGGGTCCTCATTTTGGGCTGTCCTCATAGGATGCCGGATGATATAGGGGATACAAAAGGGGGCCTCATTTAGAGAACTACCCGATAGAGGTCTTTAGGTGAGGGTTCAGGTGACTGAGACATTTTGCTTCGGGGTTCGATAGAGTCTTGGTTTAGGGTTTAGGGTGTAGGGTTTAGGGTTTAGGGTTTATAGGGTTTAGGGTTTAGGGATGCGATCCAAGGCAATCGACACGGAGTTCCCAGGCGTTTTCCAGGAAGACGCCTGGAAGAAGTCCAGCGAGGTCCGCGAACCCACTGTTTGTAGGGCCCCAAGGAAAACCCCAAACCCGTAACCCCTAAACCCACAGACACAACCTGAAACCCCCAAACCTCAAACCAGACCCCAAACCCTAAACCCTTAACCCCAAACCCTAAACCCTTAACCCTAAACCCTAAACCCCTTGTGGGCACCTTGGAGGTACAATACCGGGCGATGCGCGACAGCGTCAGCCTCTTGCGGCCCATCCAACTCGGCATCGCAGCCGCCGGACTTTCAAAGTTCCCATTTACCTGAGTTTAGGGTTTATTTAGGGTTTAGGGTTTAGGGACTTGCTGTTGCTTAGTAGCGAGGTTCATGGTACTGATTAGCCAATTATAGCTGCACTTAAAACTGTACTTCTGACACATCTCAACCCTAAACCCTAAAACCCCTACACCCTTAAACGCCTGAACCTCTCGGCCCTCACACCCCCAAACTCCCTAAACCCTTGCGCCCCTAAACCTCTGAACCCCTAAACCCTAATCCCGAAATTCCCACGTATTCCATCCCTTTAAGACCGGCCCTAAGCAACACTCATGGAGCTTTCCATGCCAAAGGACCTCCTCCCCCCCCCCCCCCCTCTCCCCCCTTCAAAACTAAGCGAAACATTGAAGCCCCTTAGGCCTTCTGTGCAGAAAGTACCGTAAACCCTACACCCCTTCAACCCCGAAGCTCTATGCAGCCAAAAAACACCTAACGCCTGAACCGCCTAAGTTGTCGAACCTCAAAACCCGGAACTTATCTCAGAGAAAAGTTCAGGGACCCACCCAAGCCCTAAAACCCTAAACTTTAAACCTCATTCTCTCCCAGGCCCGAAACTGTGAGAACCTTTTCAACCCCAAACGAGCCCCAAACCGTCGCAACCCCCATCCCGAAGCACCTACTCCCTCAACCCCTCAGACCTTAACCCTAAACCCTAAACCCCTAAACCCCCCTGAACCCCCCTAAACCCCCCTAAACCCCCCTAAACCCCTAAACCCCCCTAAACCCGAAGCCCTACCAAAGGTCGGCTCTCCCTGTGGAGCTGTTCGGGGCGTGTGGACCTTTAACCTCCGCTTCGACCTGAGTACTGAGTCTTTGGCGTCAGAGATTTGGGTTTAGGGTTTAGGGTTTAGGGTTTAGGGTTTAGGGTTTAGGGTTTGAGGTCTGGGGTTTGGGGTTTAGGGCTAGGGTAGAGGGGTTGTGAGTTTTAGGTTTTGGGGGTTCAAGGGTGCAGGGGTTTGGGATCTTTCAGGTATGAAGGTTGAGGGTTTGGGGGTGTCAGGGTCTGTTTTGATGTTCTTGTTTGGTGTGCTTAGGCCTGCGAGGTTTTTAGGGCTGAACGTACGCTTTCTTACTCTATGGAAACCTCGCATCTCTGCAGTCGCCCCTCTTCTTTAGGGTTTAGGGTTTAAGGTTTAGGGCCTAGGGTTTAGGTTTAGGGTTTAGGGTTTGTGAGCTTGGGGCTTCTGCTCTGAGATGTTGGTGCCGCAGTCCCAGGATTTGCACCGGGAATCTGCCGTTCGCTTCTTGACGGAGGCAGGCCCTGAGCCACGTGCCGCGTATTTGTTGGTTTAGGGTTTAGGGTTTAGGGTTTAGGGTTTAGGGTTTAGGGTTTAGGGTTTAGGGTTTAGGGTTTAGGGTTTAGGGTTTAGGGTTTAGGGTTTGGGTTTAGGGTTTAGGGTTTAGGGATTTGCCTTCTACCCTGTCAGACATTCAACCCTACGGACAGTCTCAAATCCCCAAACTGGGAGTGGGTTGGGGGCGGATTGATGCACCCCCATACATGTCACCCTGAACCCCCTCAAGCCGCATCAACAGCCTTGAAGAACTCAAAACCCTAAACCCTAAACCCTAAACCCTAAACCCTAAACCCTAAACCCTAAACCCTCCAAGCCCCGACAGAGGCCGGTGTAAACTTCGAGCAGCACGCCAAGGATGGCATCAACCCACATGTCTTGGGCAACGCCCTCCGGGCCTCGTTCTCGCAGGCTCCCTGGCTGCGACCCTTCTGCTGGCTTCGGGCCACCGGAGGGCTTATAGGCCTAGGCTTTAGGGCTTCAGGGCATATACATATATGTTTATATTTTTATTTGTCTATTTACTTTCTTATTTCTAGAACTAGAAAAATATATAAATAAATAAATATATATATATGTGTGTGTATATAATATGTCTATATTTATATGTTTTGCAGAGGAAAGTTGCGAGGAAGGCTGGCTCCGGGTTGGCGCGTTCTCGGAAAACACAATGTTTGCACATGGGTTTAGGGTTTAGGGTTTAGGGTTTAGGGTTTAGGGTTTAGGGTTTAGGGTTTAGGGTTTGGAGGGTTTAGGGTTTGGGGTTTAGGGTTTAGAGAGTTTAGGGTCTAGGGTTTAGGGTTTAGGTTAAAGTGGGGGGGGGGGGTTACGATATTAGGGGGTACCTTATGGAAGGTCCTTATTATAGGGGATCCTACTATCTGGGGGTCCAAAATCGGGGTCCCCTGTTTTCGTAAACCCCCAAGTAGCAACCAGAGTTCACCATGCGCTTCTGGCAGCCCCTCTCGTCTACGGCTTGAAGCGCACCATGCAACTTGAGTCTCTCCCCCCCGCTTCTTTCTCTTGGTGTCAGGCTCCTTTGTGGGCGGGCCCTTCTGTTATGTAGCAGTTTTGCACCGCCCTCAGAAGTACGGGGCGTGGAGTTATGTACCTGCTGGGTTCATCAGTGGAAGGTCGTGCTCTCAAGCCCAACCACCTCAAGCAATTGGAAGCCATTGCTTCGAAATCAGCCTTTGAGATCTCGAGTCTACCGAGCTCGTTTGCGAATGTGCTTTTCAGAGAGCCCAATACCCCTCAATCAAGGAATACATCTTCAATTATAAAGGGATCCTAAATATGGTTTAAGGTATACTCCTCATTTAATGGGTATTGGGCTCTTTTGGGAAACCCCTAAACCTTGAACCCTAAACCCTAAACCCTAAACCCTAAACCCTAAACCCTTACGAGGCTACCTGGCTCACCTTCGCGGGGCTCTACGATCTGGGCTACCTGCTCCTACTCTCCCTCGGGGGCAGTCTGCCCGAGGTGCCCATCAAGGGTAGAAACTCCCCCCCCCTAATTAGTAGGAATAATCCATAACAACTGTAGGTAAAAAGAGTCCCAGGGAAGGCTCTAAGCATGTAAGGAAGCCCTGAAACCCGAAAGACCATAAAGTCCCCAGACAGAAGACCCCAAAGTTCAGAACAACCCGAGAGAGGCGCGTGACGAGTTTCAAGAGATGCTCTTGGCGAGCAGCGCCGGAAATGTGGATCTTCGTGATTGGCTTCCCTTCGGGTCCTTGAGTCACCTGGCCCGGGAGATTGCGGTTGAAGTTGAGGCCTTGTAGCGTTTTTCGGGGGCTGGTTTACGGGCAGGATTGAGGGCTCAGCTTCGGCTACGCTGCCTGGTGCTTTCGCCTGTGGGCCTGTTTGCAGTAGTCACTATGATGCAATTAGGTACTCAGAACTCTATTTAGTGTGTTTTTGTTGGGGTCTAAGTCCCGTAGTTGTACTACAACTTGGCGACGCTCTAAGGTCACCTTGCCCGAGAGCACGGGGTGCCGCGGCAGGGCCTTGCGCACACGGCCGGCAGCGATGCACTCCTCACCCTGCAGCTCTTTCAGAGTCTGCAAGGCCTGCTGGGATGCTCAGTAGTGCTGGGGGGGGGGGGTTTAGGTTCCCTATATAAACCCCTGTTAAACAAAAAGGGCACCCTGTTTTGGCATTTTCACTGAGCCACCAAGCCAGGAAACTGCAAGGCCCAAAGCTCGCAAGCTTAGGGTTTAGGGTTTAGCGTTTGCGGCCTGAGGGGAACTTTGGCTGAATGTTCTGGGGCCGACAGCTTGCAGGCCACAGTTCCGACGAAGACCTGTCCCAAGAGGAGGGCATTCATGGACCTCGGGCGGGAGTATGGACTGAGAGTCAAGGAGGTGCGGTTTAGGGTTCAGGGTTGAGGGTTACCCAAACCCTGGCACCCTTACAGGCCCTAAACCCTGTAAACTTGTAGGGCTTCTTTGAGCATCTTCAGGTGAGTGATATGCTCTCCCCTGCACTAGGCTTTCGAGGGGTTCCCTTGTGTTCTTTTGTTTTTTAAAGAGCGGGCTGAAAGTTTCCTTCTGAAACCCATTAACCCCACAAAGTGCTACACTGTTTTGCCCTATGAAAGTGCGAAGCCATGAGCTCCCGAAAGATCAGGCCACTGAGCTTGTTCCAAAGCAACTTTTTTCCAGCAGCTCAGGGGGTAATCTGCGTTTCCTTCTGTAAGGGTTTTTCATGGTTTTTCCCAGCTCCCTTAAACAGAACACGGCCAGGCAACAAAAAGCATCCCAGGTTATTAACATGGGTGGGGGGGGGGGTGCAGGGGGTTCTAAGCTGGGTTTGGGGTAGGGGAGGAGGGTTCAGATACACATACACATACACATAGGCGTACATGCACAGCCTGTAGCCCAGCTTGGCTGCGGATTGGGAGTGTAAGCCCGGAACACAAAAACCGCGCTATCTACCTCTCCGCATCAACCCAAAACCCTAAACCCCAAACCCTAAACCCCAAACCCTAAACCCTAAACCCCAAACCCCGAACAAAGCCCTTGTACCAGGCTTTGAATCGCTCCCGGCCTCGCGACCCTTGCCGCCCTTCGAGTGGGGCCGAGCGGCACGCGGCATTCTGAAGGCGTTAGGCTTTTGGGGCTTGGGGTTTCGAGGGTTTAGGGTTTAGGGTTTAGGGTTTAGGGTTTAGGGTTGGACCTTCGGGGGCTTCCGGGCCTTCAGGGTTTGGGGCTTGAGGTCGTCAGGGCCTTCGCGTTTTGCAGGGGCTTAGGTGTTTCAATTGCACCCCAAAAGACATGTACGACCCCAGCACTTGTGGGCGGAATCTACACCGCAGATTTGTCCCCGGTCCCCTGAAACCCTCTGCAAGCCAAAGATCATCTCAAAGAACCTGGTGATTTCACCCGTCATCGTCCGGAGTGCAGTCCCCTTAATGGGGTTTAGGGCTAGGCTGTAGAGTTAGGATGTAGGGTTTTTTTTCGCCTTAATAGGGGTTTAATAGTAATCATCTTTAGGATTTTTCTGAGGGTTCAAAGGGGACAACCGGGACAGATTCCCAGGAAGCCTTGCTCAGGACTGTTAGTATAAGGGGGAACACCCCAACCCACAACCCATCTTCCGAACCCTGTTTGCAAAGTCAAAAGAGCTTCCATGTGGGGTTCCTGTTTATTATACCCTTTCTGACGTGTCAACAAAGCCCTGCCTGCAATTTCTAAGGACCCCCTCCACTTCCCCTGAACCGTATAGGTTCCTAAGCCCCAAGGAACCCGGGATAATCCCACATGGAACCCCTTTCATACTCCTAGTGATCCTTAAACACCCCTAGACACGAAACCCTGAACCCCTAACCCCAAACCCTAAACCCTAAACCCCAGACCCTAAACCCTATTCCCTAAACCCGAAACCCTAGACCCCGCAACCCTGCGTGAAGAGGCCCCGCAGCCCGTCCCTCCGCGTGAGAGCGTGGCCCCTGCATCCTGTTGGGGCCCAGCCGCGCGCTCCGCTGTGGAGTCTCGGCTCAGCACCTGCCACTCGGACCAAGGAGCTTCGGTTTAGGGTTTAGGGTTTAGGGGTTCAGGGTTAGGGCTGAGGGCTTCGGGCTTAGGGCTTAGGGCTTAGGGTTTAGGGTTTAGGGATTAGGGTTTAAGGTTTCGGGTTTAGGGTTTAGGTTTCAGGGTTTAGGTTAGGGGTTGAAGGGTTCAAGGGTTGCACTACTACATGCTTAAGAACCCCACAAAAACTTAGAATAGTTTGGCTATGGCAACACAGGGATTATTCTCCTGTTTTTTTTTTTTTTTTTGGGGGGGGGCTTCTTAAGCACATAGTAGTTCAGGGTTTATAGGTGTTTGCTTTTTTTCAGAAGGGTTTGTGATGGTGGGGTTGCAGGGTTTCTCTGTGCTGAGCGGGTAGCCCTCTGTACCTTTGAACGTCTGGAGCTGAGGCTGTGCCTGAAGATGTGCATGCAGAATGCGGAATTCAAGCCTTTGCAAGAAGTACCCTCGGAGTGCTCGTCTTTCTTCCACTGACTCAAGCTTACAGCCATTGCGGTAGCACAAATTTGCTGGTGCCGCGGAATTCCTTGCGGCAATGCTGTACGAGGGTTTTCTCAACATTTCCGCACGCTTGACGTGCAACCGAAAAGACCGATGTACATACAACATGGTCTTCACGGGCCTCTAACTCACGTGGCCCTCCTGTTGTCAGACTGTCACTGCCCATATTGCGTGTAACTGCTGGGAGGTACAGGATCTCGGCTACGGCATGCGTCGAAGAAAGGAGAAGAGCTTTGAGGTGTATTAAACGCGCCTTAGTAATTAGAATAAGGTTTCGGGAGGTTTTTTCTTATCGTATTGATTATATAGGGACCATATAAGGGACTACGATTTGTAATTGTTTTTTCCCAAGATTAAAGCACCCACCCTACAAAGGGCAAAAGCTCCTGCGGATGCCCTTCTCCTTGTAACTGTCGTGTTTAGATCAGTCCTAGAGCACTTCGAATCCTCATACCCCCCCCCCCCCCCCTCCAGTTAAGCGCCTTCACCTTCATTTCTCCATCGTTTTTTCTTGGTGCTTGGGTCATCGTTTTCTAGGTACATCCCGGAAGCTCTCGGAAACCCAGGCCGCCTGAGCCCCTGAAGCCCTGAAAGCGCTAAGCCCTGAAAAAGGCTCTATAACCTTCAAGCTGGCCCAAGAACCCTGAGCCCTAAATTTTCAGGCCTTCCAGGCCCCAAATCCTACCCGACCTAGACCTTCTAAGCCCCAACCCTAAACCCTAAACCCTAAACCCTTAAGCCCTATGACCCCTATACAGTCTGCTCTGCACTCTGCATCGCCAGGTCACAGCTCGAGCTGCTGGCCCCGCGGCGCCCCGTAAGCTGGGCTGCCCCCTGCAGCTCAGCCGCATGTGCGGTTGAGGGTTTGGTATGTTAGGGTTTAGGGTTTATAGGGTTTGGGGTTTGGGGTTTAGGGTTTAGGTTTTACGGTTTAGGGTTGAGGGTTTAGGGTTTGGGTCTGAACTCGAAGCTTGTTCTGTCTAAGGGTCGTTACATGGTCCCCTAATATGGTTTAGAGGGCTTCAGAGGTATGGGCCAAGGTTTTCTTACATTCTGGCTTAACTAAGTTAGGACCCGACGAAGTGAGGGAGGACTTCGTGGTTGCTGATGCTTGTGGGTTTGGAAGACCTCCTGCGCTACACCCGGGAGCATGCGATGGCGCAGCGGGTCGCAAGGTTCACAGACCCCTACTCAAAGAGCCCAATACCCCTTGAAGAAGCTATATGCCTTGAATTATAAAGCCATCCTTACCATAGTTGAGGGTATATTCTTTAATTGAGGGGTATTGGGCTCACTGGGTAAACCCCATGCCACAACAAGGACGTCCGAATTCATCAACAGTGGCTGTGGTTGAACCCATTGCGGCTTACTGGGCTTATGTTGATGTTGATGATGATATTATGATTATCATCATCATTATTATTATTATTATTTTGTTACTTATATGTATATATATATATATATATATGTTTTTAAGGCTTACAAAGATGTTCGAGACGCCGTAGAGCAAGGCTTCGGAACGCGCGACCGGCGGGTTGCCACAGTCGGGCGCTTAGTCAGAAGAACTGCCGTCAGCTGAAGTGGCGTTTGCACTTCTGACCAGTTCGGAAAAGTTGAGGGCTTGCTGGCTGTCCGTAGCAAACACGGAAAATCCAAAAACCTGAAGCGCTAAGCCCTAAATAGGCGGCGCATATCAATGAGTCCATCCCGCCATAAGACGAAACTTAAGTTCATCCCATGGGCCCGCAAAATATCTAGGCTTGATGGCGATGTTGGGGTTTAGGTTTTAGGGTCTAGGGTTTAGGGTTTAACTAGGCCAGGGCTTAGTGTTCCAGCAGCGGGTTGTTTTTCATCTGTGCTGAGGCGTATCTGGACGACTGGGGCGAAGCTGCGCCCTACCCAGCATTTATGGGTTCCCCTACTACCCCCCTCCATACTACCATAATTAACGGTATTTAGGGATGTTTAAGGCTAATTAAGGTTATTTAAGGGGGCAACCTAGGGGTAGTATAGAGGGGGGTAGTAGGGGAACCCATGAAGCATGCATGGGATGTTTCTGTGTAATGCCATGGTGTTCTCGCCGGTCTGGGGCTGAGAGGTTGGGGGGCACTTGAGGCCGTCCAGGGTTTCAGGGTTCAGGGTTTTGGGTTTTGGGTTTTGGGTTTAGGGTTTTGGGTTTTGGGCTTTGGGTTTTGGGCTCAGGGTTTAGGGTTCAGGCTTTAGGGTTTAATTGGGGTTAAGGGTTTAGGGTCAAGATCCCACGGGGCACCCGTAGGGGCATGGTGGGTGGGCCGTGGCAAAGCATCAAGCCAGCCACCGACGTGCACTGTTTCCACCAAGAAAAACCAGGCAGACATGCACTGAATCCCCAACCCGGAGCCCTAAACCCTGAAACCGAAACTCGGAACCCCTCAACCCTGAATCCTGAACCCTACCACCCTCAACCCTATAGGTTTTAAAAGCCCAGTGCAGGAGACGATTTGAGTCACAGGGGCCTCTTAAAGTCATAGCGCCATGCAGGCCCTGGTTTTCAAGATCCACTGCCTGACGGCCCGGAGGTGGTCGGGTTAAGGGTGAAGGGCGTTTAGGGTTTAGGGTTTAGGGTTTAGGGCTTGGAGGTTCACGATACTTATTAACCGATTGTAGCTGCACTTATAACCCACTTACAAGCCCTTTAAGTGCCCTAATATGGTTGTTTGTACAGTCGAAAAGTACGGTTATAGTTGGTTAGTAAGTACCATAAACCTCCAAATGGGGGTATCACAGGGTTTTGAGGCGTCAGGCGCTTAAGGGCTAAAGGGCAGTAGTATTGTTTAGGTTTCTTAAGGGCTTGCGAGGGGGCTGGGTGCCTTTTTGAACTGTAGTGTTCTCGGGTTTGGTGCTTTAGGGGGTAGTAGGGTGCGAAGGTGCTTTGGTTTTAAGGGTGGTAGGTAGGGTTTCGAGAATTTCTGGTTTCAGAGGGCTTCTAAAGTTGCATAGGACGTTGAGGCCTTGCAACCCTAAAAGCCCTGAAGCCTAAACCTCATATGGAACCCCAAAATTGTGGTCATATACCCCTATACTACTATAATCCCTATTAATGTATATATATATATATACTACTCTCATATCTATTCAGGCAAATATATATATATATACATACACTACTATAATCCCCATGAAGGTACATGAACCATAAACCCTTCATGGTACATCTGGACCCCAAGCGATGGTTTGTCGTCCAGGATACACGAATACTCCTGGCTGGCCGAGGAAGATCAGAGACCTGTGTGCCACTCAAGTATTCTTGGGTGCCTCAGGGTTTAGGGTTTAGGGTTTAGGGTTTAGGGTTAATTAGGGCTTAGGGTGCTGTGGTTTGGGGCTTACTCTGGCACCCCATGACCCTCAAAAGGAACAGCTTGCGTGTTCTCAGGTGCGGTCATGACCCATGACCCTAAACCCTAAACCCTAAACCCTAAACCCTAAACCCTAAACCCTAAACCCTAAACCCTAAACCCTAAACCCTAAACCCTAAACCCTAAACCTAAACCCGAAACCCTTATCTCTTCTCAGGTCCTCCACGAGTCGCTCATTGCCCCCGGGACCCAATTCGAGGCTTGGAAACTTCAAGAAACTCAAAGGTGCTCTTAGAATGGGTATACTGGGGGTTTAGGGTTTAGGGTTTAGGGTTTGGGGTTTAGGGTTTAGGGTTTAGGGTTTAGGGTTTAGGGTTTTTTTTGGCTTGGGGTTTAGGGTTTTGGGTTTTGTGGTTGTATAGCTAGACTTGGGGTCAGAAGAGGATGATGTTGATCATTCATGATCTACATGTTCTTCTATTGGGGCGGATGGAAGGGCGCATGGTCTCGTTACCAGTCTTTGGTTCTCTCCCCTAAGCACACTTGTCACCCCTACCCGCCTATTCCCAATCTCGAAACTCCTAAATGCCTATAAGCCCTCTGAATCCTCAAACCCGAAAACAAGAAATGGTGGTTTCCGAAATTGGCACCTTTTCGGGGTCCATAATACAAGGGGACCCTAATGCAAGGGGAAACCTACTATTTGCGATCTATTTTAGGGGTCCCCTGTATTCGTAAACCCCCAAATCGAGTCCAAACTTTAAACCCACAAGCCATCAAACCCTGAACCCTAACCCCTAAACCCTAAACGGCCATTAAAGAGCCTCTCCCTGGCGCAGTCCCGGGGCCTCTTTGAGCTGACCGACGTCACGCTGCGCCGCCGCCTCAGCACGGAGCTTCGGGTCAGAGTCAGCCTGGCCACCTCGGCTACAGGGTATAAAGGGCTTTAGGGTTTAGGGTTTAGGATTTAGGGTTTAGGGTTTAGGGTTTAGGGTTTATAGGGTTTATAGGGTTTAGGGTTTATAGGGTTTAGGGTTTAGGGTTTAGGGTTTAGGGTTTAGGTGCTTGGGCTTCTGTAGCTGCTTCAGGGTTTATAGAGGTTTGGTGTTTTTTTGTGTTCGGCGTCGGCTTTTGGGGTCGGGCTTTCCTCGCCATCGCTTCGATGTCTTCTCGAGGGTCCATGTGTAGTACTGACGTGGATGTGAGTGTTTCGTACTTTGTGGTACTTTACTGTAACTTTAGATCCTTACCTTTTTTGGGCTTATTGGGTTTCTTATTCAGGCAGCTAAGAGTTTAATTTATAGCTACCCTCCTGAGTGCAGCCAAGCGTAGAATTGCTAGTTGCCTATGTAACTCATGGCACTACGCGTGGAACCTCTAGCCTCGTGTCCAAGAAAGCCGCGCAACGAACACATAGTTCTTCGTTGATGCCTTAATTTGCCTCAGTTTTGCTTTTTTCCCCTGCATTCTTTGTTACGCTGTACATTCTTGCGTCTGAAGTCCTGGGACCTATAGTACCAGAGGATGACTGAAAAAGGAAGTGACAACAAAAACACAACTCTCAGGCCGTGATGTGCCAATGGACGCCGACCTCCGTGGGCAGGACTTCGCCTTGCGCGAGGACGCGTGAGCCCCAAGTTGTTTGTTGTTTTTTTAGAGGGACTTTTTAGTGGGGTTTAGGGTTGATTGTGTTAGGGCATGCAGGCTGGTTGTAGGGTTGTAGTGTCTTATAGAGCTTGGCCAGGACCATAGTCTTCCTTGGCACCCCGAAACTTCGAAGGCCTAAATGTTCAGGGTTTAGGGTTTAGGGTTTAGGGACGAAGGAGTGCTTCCACACCTGGCTCCATCTTCCCTCCACCACGCAAACTCGAACAGACGCGGAATGCTCAAGTGCCTCCTGAAAATCGAGCATTCACCCTCAACCCTCAACCCTCCACCCTCAACCCTAAACCCTAAACCCTAAACCCAAAGCCCTAAACCCTAAACCCTAAACGGGTTCCCACAATGATGGTCCTTCCCGGCCATCCAAGCCATCCTGTGATTCGATGGCTCCTTTGAAAGCACTGACCATCCTGCTCGGGTCAGCCTCGAAGCTCAGTTCTTTCAACCCTTACCCCTAAACCACCCTGAAGCCTAAACCCCGCAACCCTAAGCCCTAGAACCCATAAACCCTAAACCCTAAACCCTAAACCCTAAACCCTAAACCCTAAACCACCCTGGACCCTATAACCCATCAACCCTAAGCCCTATAGAGCCCATAAACCCTGCACCACCCTAGAGCCTATTCCGCTTAAACCCTTGAGAACCCCTAAACCCTAAGCCCTATAGAACCCATAACCCCTACACCCCCAAAGCCCCAAAACCCTCAGCCTCTAAGCCCTAAACCACCCTAAGCCCTATATACCCATAACCCTAAACCCCAAACCCTCAACCCCTAAACCCTAAACCCTAAACCCTAAACCCTAAACCCTAAACCCTAAACCCTAAACCCTAAACCCTAAAACCCAAATGCTGCCGAGATGCCCCTGAACCCGCTGCCGACCAGCGAAGCACCTGGACAGCGGCGGCTCCTGGTAATACTCCAAGAGGCGCCAAATGGGGTTTAGGGTTTAGGGTTTAGGGTTTAGGGTTTAGGGTTTGGGGTTTGGGGTTTGGGGTTTGGGGTTTGGGGTTTGGTTTCCGAAATTAGGGGCACCTTATCCTGGAGTCATGTTTATCAGGGGATCCTACTATTCGGGGGTCCATATTCAGGGTCCCTTGTTTCCGTAAGTCGTAAACCTTAAAGAGTGCCTGCTGAAGAGCGCCTGAACCTGTAGGCTTTAGGGTACCATACGGAATAATTGCTGAGAGTGTTCCCTTAGGGTCCCTATATACGTATATAGTTTATTGGAATAACCCCCCAAAACCTTATTCTAATACTAAGGCCCCTCTAGTAATTAGGTGGGGGGGGGGGGGGGTGGTTCAGGCATCATGTAGGAGGACCTGCTGTGAACTGTCATGGTTTAGGGCCTAGGGAGTGTAGGGTGGGCCCAGATCTGCTGCTTCTGGAAGCCAGCCAGGTCGTACCTGCGGACGATCTCCGAAAATATGTCTGAGATGCTTATGCCGCGGTGCGGTGGTGGGGCTGCTTCTCGAGTCGTCTGGGCAAAGTAGCATCCGAGCAGTCCCAACTCAGTCACAGCCAGCACAAGAGAAGCGGCCCTGCGGCTAAATAGATGCGTATTGCTTCTCTGTTGTGGCAACCAGCCAGTTCAGTCAAAAGAGAGGATTGCCGGCGAGGTATGCAGGACGTAGTTACTCCGTGATGATGCTTGTGTGATGTTGCAAGCATACTTGCGGATACTATATATATATATATATGTCTATCTATCTATCTGTGTTAATGTATTTATTCTCGTATGATTTTTCATTCATGAGTTTTTATATATATGATTATCACCCCCCGGCCCATGATTCGCAAAGTATGGTCGTCTGGAGGCGGGGGGGGGAGGGGGGGGGATGGGGATCCGCGCAAAGCTGGAACTCGCCACCTCCCGGCTTCCATCTTGAGTCATACCAGTTGTCGGGCGCAGCTGCAAGAATGGGAGTGTAGCATATATATATATATATATGTAAATGAATCAATAGACATATATATATATATATATACATACATATATATATATATGTACACGCTCTTTCAATAATTTCGCCTATGTCCGGCCCATGCAGTAAATGCATAGCAAGTATACTTGAGGGCTCTTCTTACTAGGCTTTGGGAACTGTATTCAGTGTGAATTGTTGCTTCTCATTGATTTTTTTTAATTATTGCTGTTGGATCTCTTTTTTTTTTTTTTTTGGGGGGGGGGGGTGGAGGTGAAAGTAATCGGTCCGGGA